TCGTACGTGCCACGATTGCGTACAGTTAATAACACACTATAACCCATATGCCATGCTTCGTGCGAAGCACAAATGAGCACCGTTTAAGCACCGCGTCAAAAAAATTGATACGGAAAACCACCGCTCCCACAACTATTGTGCGTTCTGTGGGCTGGAAAATGGGTTGGGCTCCGTTTGGTTTGGTTTGGTTCGGTTATTAAGCCATTAACACACAAGCACACACAGAGGGCAATGCTAATTAACTCCTTATTCGAAATAATATTTTAATTGTCTGCAATTGAGGCGTTAAATTCAATTTACATAAACGCACAGTTGACGCCTCGTTATCAAATGTGATTTGATAGAGACCATTATGAAACAGTCGAGTGAAAATTGAATAATTTAAGGGGTTATTATTATAAATATGAATTTAGTTTAATTGTAATGCTTTATTATCATAATTATTATAAATTTTTTCAAAATCGCTAAAATCTTCAAAAAACGATAAAATTTTTCATTTTTTTAAATATTTAATTTAGGAGTCATTTCCGACCCTATAAATCATATATATTATTGATCAGCACCAAAAGCCGAGTCGATCTAGCCATATTCAAAGAAAACATTTTATTATTTTAAAAAAATTTTTAAAAATTTTAAATATTAAATTTAGTATGCACATTTATAAACCTAATAAAAACTAACACAAAACATCCTTCCGATTTCAGATTAATACAGTTTTGACTGGGTTATGTTTTTTTTAACTTTTTATTATACGAAATTATCGATTATTATCGATTCCCAAAGTTGACTTATTTTCTTGTTAAATTTAAAATTAAAGCTAAAAGAGAGTGTGTTTTGTAGTCTACATTTTCTTTGCTTTGTCTCAATTTGATTTGCTGTTAATTGGCAATAATGGTTTATATAGTATATATATAATATTTAATGATATAGACTCATTTCTGTTGCTTCACGGTGTTGACCCAGTCTTGAAAACTCAAAGTGGCCTTGTGCAAATGATCATAATTAACTTTGGCATGGTATCTGAGGAGATTTCGATCTTTGAACTAGTAAATAATTAATATTTTACCAATTAAAACAGAACTAGTAAATAATTAATATTTTACCAATTAAACAGATCAAAATTAAACCTTTTTTTAAATTTAATATATATTCTCTGTTTCTCAGTTTGATTTAGAGTTTTATTTGTAGAGTTTTGAATGCCAAACTCCTTTCCTCATCGACTGGCAGCCTTGTTCTTGAACACAGCTTTTATATTTATACATGCATATCTGTATATATATATTTTCTGTATTTATTTCGTACTATCGTTCGTAATTACTGGTACAACTGTGCCGCTGGCTTATCTAACGAATACGCGTATGCGCACAGCCCATATATGCACATAAGCCGGCGAAAACGGCAACACAATGGCAATAGCAATGGCAACAAAAATAAATAATAGCAGCGGCAAAAAAAAAGCAATGGCAACAAATTAAAAAAAAAATAATAAAAAAAAGGAAGGCAGGCAACGGCAATCAACAAGTAAACTTCACACACTGCTGATGACATCATCATCATCATCACCGCATCGACATCGTCACTTGATGTGTTTTTTGTTGTTGTTTCTTTCTCTGTTTCTGCTGCAGCACAGATCCACAGTGGATATTGACTAAGATTTATTGTTATAAAAAATAATACAATAGTAACTATAGAAGTTAGAGTGAACTTTTTAATTGTAGATACTTTCGATATTGAATTATATATTTTATTTTTATTTTTATAACGTCAGCTCCCTGACTTGCCAGCTGAGAATTTTAGTAAACTGTGAAAAGTATCTTAAAGATTTTTTTAAACATTTTTAGCTTTAACATTTGGTATTTTAACAAACCTTTGGGATATGTTTTGGGTCTGAAAATCTCTTCATGTCTCTTGAGAGTTTCTATATAATTAAAAAAAATAAATATTAAATTAAACACGTTCTTAAATACTTAAGATTAGGCAAGAAGATATTATAGTGTAGTATATAAATAAAGTTTATCTAAATCACGTTTTTTAGCCACTGATATTACTTTGCAGCAATCTTTAAAGCTTTTTCTTGATCTGAAGCTGATCTTCCCTTTGGCTATAGCTTAGCTTCGCTTAATATTCCTCAAAAAACATATAGTTCAAACAAACCTGGTTTTCCTGTACCTATAAAGACTCCTCTCTATCTATCTATCTTTCTATCTATCTATTTATCTATCTTTTTATCTATCTATCTATCCTTATATTTATGTATCGTTAAATGTATCCATCTTTCTTTATACCTATATATCCATCTATCTATCCATCCATCTATCTTCCCATCTGTGTTGCCACAAATGTTTTTTATTGTTTGTATCATTTCCCCTGCTTTGGCCTTGGCAGTGCAGCGATGCAGAATTCTCTCATCCGGATTGGATTGGCTCTACTACTGAGACTGAGAGTCTTTGGGTCTTGGGTTGCCGCATCCGGTCCCTAAAAACGGCAGGCAAAACCCTCAAGCACATCACGCGACGCCTCGATGATGATGTCACATGATTATGGGAATGGAAATTATGTTGTTTTATTTCGTTAACAAATTTTTGTTTGATTTATTTATCGGTAATTGCTGGCACGCGAAGCGTTCACATTTCTGGACTCTTGGTCCGGAACGCCCATTAATTGACCAGTTTGCCCGTAAATGTGACCCACATTAACGCCTAATGGTATTGCTGACAGATACCTAATATTTAAATTCCACTTATTTAAGTGTTGTGTTTATAGAAACCAATATAAAACATGACTCATGTAATATGGAATAATTTATATAAATATTTGTAGGGAAGTAAAAGTTAATAGACGAATAGACGAATTTCTCACAATGTCTTACAATCTTTGCTTAAATTTCAATAAAAAATATTTCTTATACCATTTATTATATATTTAATAATATTTACCTTATAATAATACTCCTTATCCTTTATTTTCTTTCAGGCCAGCACCATCGATGGCAGGCGAAAGGGTGCCTGTCTGTTCTGCCAGGAGTACTTCATGGATTTGTACCTGCTGGCCGAGCTAAAGACAATCAGCTTGAAGGTCACAACGGTGGATATGCAAAAGCCACCGCCTGATTTTCGCACCAACTTTGAGGCCACACACCCGCCCATCCTGATCGACAATGGGCTGGCCATTCTGGAGAATGAGAAGATCGAAAGGCACATTATGAAGAACATACCGGGCGGCTACAATCTTTTCGTGCAGGACAAGGAGGTGGCCACGCTGATTGAGAATCTGTATGTCAAGTTGAAGCTGATGCTGGTGAAGAAGGACGAGGCCAAGAACAATGCCCTGCTCACGCACCTGCGCAAGATCAATGATCATTTGGCTGCGCGCAATACGCGCTTCCTAACCGGCGACACCATGTGCTGCTTTGATTGTGAGCTGATGCCGCGTCTCCAGCACATTCGTGTGGCGGGCAAGTACTTTGTGGACTTTGAGATACCGGTAAGTAAAGGGAAAGGAAAGTACTAGAAGCTAATAAAGTGCCAATAAAACGGGTTTTAAATCATATTTATAGACATTTATAAAAGTGATTATCGAATGTTCACAATCCCATGAGTCACCACTCACTAACTCTAATACCCATTCCTCCTTGCAGACGCACTTGACGGCGCTGTGGCGCTACATGTATCACATGTACCAGCTGGATGCCTTCACACAATCGTGCCCGGCCGACCAGGACATTATTAATCACTACAAGCTGCAACAGGTGCGTATTTCTGATTCATTTTCCCCCAAAAACTAGCTTTTCACCGGCCTGAGTTTTCTCTCTCCTTTTTTTTAGAGTCTCAAAATGAAGAAGCACGAGGAGCTGGAGACGCCGACGTTTACCACATCCATTCCAATTGATATTTCGGAGTAGGTTTCCTATATAAAAAGCTGAGCTGAGCTGAGCAGCAACCACACATCAATAAATAATATTTTGGACAACTTTACAAGCAAGCTGACACACTCTGAGCTAGAGCTATACATAAATGTATACTTATCGGATATAACTACCCACGCATATACTATATATATATATACCTACCATATATATATATACAACGAGTAAACATAACAAGCATAACAACAACAACAAGTGTTCTTTAAGCAGCCGCGTTGCCTTTTCTTCAGCTATGCTTAATTTAAACCCCCTATTTAAATAGCAACCAAGCAGACTTTTGCGTGTACTTTATATATATATATTTTTTTTGTTTAATTCATTAATGAACCATTTGTGTTTGACATACAGATGCGCGTACATACTTACATTTATGAGAATGTCAATTAAAACTAATGGGTTGCCTGTAGTAGTGCCGCTTCTCGGTTTTATATACATATTTTACTTTGTATTCAGCAAGGAGCTTTTATTTATTTTTTATAACTTTTTTCTTTTTTGTAATTCTGTAAATCTGTTTTTTTTTAAATATATGATTTTAGTTTTGAAATTTTTTGCCATTTTGTTTGCTTATAATTTTTATTTGAATATTTTTATCATAACAAGGAAAACTACAAAAAAAAAGGAAAAATAAAAAATATAAGAGGAAAAGAAGAGTATTTTTTGTATTTAAGTGAAAAATTATAAATAAAAAACACAAAAAGACAGTGGATGTGCTTTTAAATATATATATATATGTGGGGGGGGTGTATTTTATTTATTTTGTTGTATTTATTTTTTTATTATTTTTTTTTTAAATAAAATAACAAAATTAGGGAGTGACTTGGATGGATCTAAAAAACATTTTTCGCTTCAGCTCTGAACTTTACATAAATAATTTTTTTTATATAAATTCAGAATGTATTTTAATGGCTTAATAATTAATTGTTTATTAAATTGCATTTTTTATACGAATTTGAATTATTTTGGTATAAATAATAGTTGATATTCTGGTATATTTATATTAGAAGTAATCCAAAAATACCAAATGTAAAATATTAATCGATATATCGATAGTTTGATAACACCCGTAGCCATCAGCTGTTTGTTGCCGTTGTCAAATTCCAAAGTTCGTTTTTACATCACATAAAAGAAGCGTCAAAATTAGTTATATTCGTTAACTTTTAATAACTAATATTTGGAAATAAACAATTATTCTGCTGTCCGCAAGATGACCTTGGCCGCCGCCAGCGGTGTGTGGCAGGTGCTGTCGAGTTGCAGGGCGCCGCTGATGTTGCGCCACCTAAGCTCCTCCGCTGCTGCTGCCGCCGCCGCTACGACAAAGCGAACCGAGGGAACAACCCGCATCCTGACTGCCAACGATTATGCGGAGCTAATCGAGCCGGAGTCGCAGCGTAGGTGCCTGGAGAAGATGCGCAGCCTGCCGGCCTTTCCACGTCCCAAGACGCTGACGCCCAGTCGGCGGGAGAAGCAAACCTCTGCTGTGCTCATCCTACTCTGTCAGGAGCAGGGCACGTGAGTGCTGTATCCCCCTCTTCCTCATCTTATCCTAATATACTGTATAACCGTTTAGCCACGAGATCTCCCTGCTGTACACGCGGCGTTCGAGACATTTGCGCAGCCACAGCTTCCAGATCTCCTTTCCCGGCGGCCGGCGGGACGAGCAGGATGCCAGTTATGCGGACTGTGCTCTGCGCGAGACAGAAGAGGAGGTCGGTCTGCCGCGCCACCGCATCGAGGTGTGGGGCGAGTCCTGCCAGCTGCACTTGCCGCGCACCTCGTCAATTGTGCCGGTGGTGGGCATGGTGCGTGACTTCAGCATCTCGGAGCTGCGTCTCAACTGGGAGGAGGTGGAGGAGGCGTTCAGTGTGCCGCTGAACGATCTGATGGTGCCCAAGGTCGCCCGGCACACGCAATTTCGCAGCGGCTACAGTGGCCCCGTGTTTGTAGTGGATCACCACAGGATCTGGGGCATCACCGGCTACCTGACGCACATCTTTCTGCATAGCCTGCTGCCTGGCCACCTACTGCCCGAGTGCCTCAAGACGAACATCAAGTATGTAAGACCCTTTAAGCTGCCACCCCGTCCGCCACACCACAGGGAGTCACAGTCCGATCCCTCAATGCGTACCTGAGAGGAGAGACGTCCTCGCTAGCACTCGTCACGAACCAAGCTCCAGCTCAGGCTGTGCCCGAGCTTGGAGCAGCCAAACGGTAGACTAAAAGTTGTTTTTATTGTTTTTATGTGCCCAACTCGATGCATGGATATGGTAGCCTTATACTCTAGCAATGCAAAATAAAGCTGTTGTCCGTTATAAACAAATGAGCTCCTAGGAAGCCCTATGGCCTATCTTAAAATTCGTAATTAGTTTAAATTTTCCGCTCAAAAAACAAAGTGTCCCTAAAATCGATATTATATTTATTATATATCGATATTTATTTGAGTAAGTAACAAAAGGGATTATCGGTTGTCCTTTGCCTCGGCAGTGGTTTACAGACTTGGCCAGAGAGGATCCATGCTTCAGGCTTCTCCCTTCACCGATCGTCCCTTTAAAAACTTGGGGATTACAACGGTAATCCGTAATAAATGAATGTTGGTCGAAGCTTTTGGCCTTGCTAAAGGGGCGTGCCTTGCAGGCCCCGAATTACTTGCCGCATCTCTTCGATTTCCTTCTCCCTGCTCTGGAGCAAAGTCTCGAGGTGGATCACGTGGTTCTCGTACATGCGGATCATGCTCCACTTGGCCTGGCACTCGCGAGAAAGCTCCTGGTAGCGAACGTACAAGATCATCCTCGAGGTCACCTGGCCTTTGTCGAGGGTGTCCACTGTGTCTGATGCCTCTGTCAAAGCCTCCTCTTGGTTCTGCTCCAAGGTCATGGGATCTTCGTTCAGCTCCAAGGTCTTGGGAACTTCGTGTTGCTCCACGACTTCGACCTCTTTGTTTTCCTTGAGCTCTTCGTTTTGGTCCACTACTGTGATCTCTTCGTCCTCCTTGGTCTTGATCTCTTCCTGCTGCTCCACTTCCACCTCTTTCTCCTTCTCAGACGCTGCGTTCTGCTCCTGTCGCTTCGACACTTGCTGCTTCCGGAGACGCAGCATCTCGTAAATCAGAATTCCGACGGCGCACTGGTTGCCCTTGGCCAGCTCCTCTATGAACTCCTTGCCCAGCATCGTGTTAAACTTGGAGAGGACTTTGAAATTGAAAGTCTCCCAGTTCTGTATTTTCAGGTTGATGCCGTTCCGCTTCGGGTAGTTGACCAGATCGATGAGTCGGGGAAAGTCGGGCTGCAGGAGCTCCGCCAGGGGGTAGACATCGGAGAACTTGCGGCGCACTTGCACGGAGTCCGCCTTGTTCTCGCGCAGCCACTCGAGTACCTCATTCCTCTGCTTCTCGCTGAGGGTCTTCAATGTGATAATATACATAATTTTGACGCGATTACGTAGAAATGAGTACGAAAATATAGAGAGGGAAACGAGGGTACGAAAGTTTTGGACTCTGATTCGGAAAATAACAAAACTAATGTTGAGGCTGTGTTGTGTTCTGTATGAACGGTGAAACTAAACTGAGGCCGTACCAAACTGGACCGACCAGCTGCTGGAAAGGAAAACCCAGAGGCTCCTCAGGTTGGGGGAGCTCGGGCATGGCCTCCTTGCAATTTGGAAACATTTTCACTATTTTTTATGCTTAATTGTATTTATTTTTTGAATTTAGGCGCTCATCTGGGTATTTTAGGGTGAAATCTCCACAGTTCGGTATTTTTTAGGAGCCACACATTTTGATCTGGCTCAAAAGTAAGCAAAAATAAAAAACATAAACATACCAGAGGTTGTAAAACCAGGTGTGGTTCGAATATTAGATGAGGTTAGCATATCAGGCGTGGTTCGAATATTGGGTGTGGATTTTTTTTAGGGGATTTTAAACTTTTTGGGATTTTTTAGGGACACTGCACACCGCCCGCAAGTTTAGTTGCAAAAAAAAATTCGCACTGCTCACTACGCTTTTGTCCAATCGCACGAAATTGCAGTATTATTGTTGTTGTTGTGATTCTTGTTGCCTGCATTTTTTTACTGTGTAGCATCCAGTGTTCTTTTTTTTTTGTCTATAGAACTATTGTAACTTTAAAATTAAGACATAAATTGAAGAAGAAGCACAGAGGAACGGTGAGACTGCAGAAAGTGCAAGTGGCTCAGAATTGCAAGTGTGTTTGTGTGCGTCTTGCACTTCGAGTTTTCTTTTGGCTTTTGAGAAGACCGAAGCCGAAGGTTCCAGAGTAGAAGACAGACAGGAGGCTTTCTTCTTGCCGCCGCGTGGAGCAGGTGCGGTGCCGGTCAAGGACAACATCCCGTACGCTGGAAGGAGCGGATACCAGTACAGGCCGCAGCGGAATGCAGAGCCAAAGTCAGAGCTACGCGGACGCCCTCAGCGCCAAGGGCTATCGCAGCTTCGGCTTCGACACGGACGTGGAGATGGACATGGACATGGGACTCACAATGCGACGCATCGAGAAGCGCAAAGGCGGTGAGTTTTTCACTTTTACTGTTACCGTTACTATTACTGTCGCTGTCACTGCGGGCGTGGACACGTGTGTACGAGAAGATGTGTGTGTGTGTGCGCGGCAGGGGCGTAGGCAGAGAAGCTTGGTAGAGGGGGAGGGGATGCTTTTGCTGAGAAAAGTCTTGTTTGCTTTTGCTTTTATTGATGCAAGAAAATGAAATCTCTTAAATAAAATATGCATTTAAAATTCAGATAATACTTGACCAGATTTATTAGTACAATTTTTAAATATATAATTGGTTTATTTTAATTCATAATTAATTGATACAATTTCTTAAAAATTAAATAAAGCTGATACTAAAAAAGTTTATACACAAAAAAAAACCCATAAAAAAACTCAATCTCTGCCTGCGCCACTGTGTGTGCACGGGGGTGTGCGTGTTTGGGCTTGTAGGATGCATTGACTTTTTGCGCCTTGGTTCACTTCGCTTACTGGTCATCGCCGTGAAATATTTAAATTTCCACGTCAAAAAAACTGGAAAGAAAATGAAACAACAGCATACACCCACAGTGGGTAGCTAACATATATGTACCATAGGTAGAGACACATATCAGCCCAAGTAAAGCTAATGACGTGCAATTATTGTAATCAGGCAGCGAGAAGAAGGCGTGCTGGTAACTGTGCATAAATTATCTAGCTAAACTATACAGTTCCACTGACAATAACGATGAAACGATGATGAGCGCTCCTTTGATGATGACGAATGGGGTGCCCTTTAATTATCTCAGCTGTGTTTCAAGCAAAGCTGTTGTGCGAGTTCTTTCTGAACAAGAAACATAGTTTGGAGGTTTCTCTAAAACCTAAATAATATTTAAAATGTATATATTTTATATATATTTTTGTCTTTGACTGGGTTTTATTTGTATTGTTTGTTAGAAAAATGATTCTGGCATTACAAATTAGTTTACATTTTTTTAGAGGCTTACTAAAATGTCTATATTTGTATTATTAAAATAAGTATTAAAGGACTTTACTCCCATGTATTGAGCTAGCACAGAATGACATCACCAGAATTTCGATTTTATTCTTCCTTTGTTGAGTCATATTTAAGCCAAAAAGAAGTTTGGCATTATCCCAATAATATTGGGCCAATATAAATCATTTGTCTGTTGCCTTATAATTTATTATTTGACAATGTTTTGAAAATATTGCCACATTATATTTAAAAAAATGGGCATGGCAGCATCTATATATCTCTTAAGGACTATGATTTTCAAACCATATTGAACAATGTTTTTAAAGTAAATTCCAATAACTTTATACTTTAAACACAAATATATTAAAAAGTTAAAAAAACATTCCTTCGAAAAATAAAAGCATCTATGCAGTGTCATAACGCCGCCATTAATAATATTTTGTCTTAGCCTTTAGGGTTTAATATGATAAATAATAATATGATAAACAAATATATTAAAAAAGGTATAAGGTAAATTTTATTAATTGTATAATTTTCATACACAAATATAACAAAAAGTCTTAGAATACTTTCCATAAAAGCCGTGTTATAACACTATTAAAATATTTCTCCTATGCTTTTAAGGTTTTGAATAATAAACTAATTTTTCTGAATTTTGTACCTTACTTGTTCATTTCTCTTTATTTATTCTCAAAAACCAGCAATTGATTTCTTAAATTTTCTGGCAACTAAGCTCAAGTCTTGCCCAGTTTAATTATTATTATTATTATTTGTCTAGTCCATTGCTTTTATGATTTGTGAGTACGCAGCTTTTTATGTGCCTGCTCCCTTTGTTTATTTCGCATTTTTGCGTTTCTGTTGGTGCAGCAAACACAGGCGCAATGGGAAAAACCAACAGCAAATAGCGAGCCATTTAGGAAATTGGTTAAAACATGAGGCGAACTCATGCGAACTCGGACAGAGACACATTTTTTTCTCTATATATTTATGGGCCAGCTTGTATGTGGGCCAATTAGCCTAGCCGCCGACGCTGTTTGCACTGAGTCATCATCATCATCAGAGGATGAGAAAGAGGTGGAGCAGGAGGTTGAGGAGTAGGAACTGACGTTGGAGAAAAGGGTAGCTCTGGGCTGCCAAAGGAGAAGTCCGGCAAACCCAACTCCCCTATTATTGTGACGACTTTAATCTAATCTAGGGCGAATTTTTTATGTTTGCCCAGCTGAATTTATGGAAGTTTCAAACAACACGTGGCCATTTAATGCACAAAAATTATAAAAACATATTTTCAAAGATTTATAAAAGATAAACTGCAAAAATGTAGGTTTCTTAGTTGTTTTATAAACTTGTTATAAAAGGGAAAGACAGTTGTGGCAGGACTTTGATCAAGATATTATTTGCAGCGTTGTTTTTTCTTATTAAATTATTTTTAAATATTAATTATATAAAATATATTACCTTGTTTAGTTTTTTTTTTTCAGTGTGTTATAACACTAGCGCTGTTATCAGTCTATAAATAGCCTCCGTGAATAACAACATCCAAATTTGAGTGCGAGTGCCAGTAACGTGTATTGTTCACATTTCGTGGGAATCGGACGCCGTCTAGCTAGCTCCATTATCTGGTCATCTATATAGAAGTAGGGCCTCGTATTCCATCTAGTACTCAGTCATATATATATCATCAACATCCACTTAATTGACTCAATGTGACATGTGTCCGTCCGCTTTATGAGGAATGTGTTGTTTTCAATCAACTAAAGGAACTCGATTTACACATTTTTATATATATATATATATATATATATATATATATATATATATATATATATATAAAAAAATGTGTAAATCGAGTTCCTTATATTTATATGAGATATATTTGATATGATAAATATAATAAGGCCTCCAAAAAGACCCACAATATGAGCATTGCTTTGCTTGTATCGATATATTTTTTTGACGAATCTTAATTAAAAAATACTATAACTTGGTCAAAATTCAATTAATTTCAAATCGAAAAACAGTTTTATGTTGGTTTTTCTTAGGACAACAAAATTAATATTTATAAAATATTTTATCTTTCCAACATTGCCAAAAAAAAAAAAAAATAAAGCAATTCATGTTCACTGATGATCTTAATTAATTAATGAATAATTCTTAATATTAATTAATAATTACCCAATAGGGTTACCTTTAGAGGAAACAATTTTAGGTTTTGAAATTTTTAAAACATATCTTTCTCTAAAAACTAGCATAGTTTTAAATTCTGTATTTCATTAAATTACTATGAAATTATAGAAAATCCTTTAAACATTTTATAGTTCCCCTTGGTTACAATTTTTCCACTGCCACTGTGCCCTCCCATCAGTCTGCTGTCGTCGTCGTCGTTGTCGTAGGCATAGGTCAGGGTTTTCCGATTAGAAACAAATACCAACAGACAGCGAGTGGCTAAGAAAACAATATGTAGCGCTTTTCCACCTTGTCTCCCCTCCTGGGCTTACATATTTAAGCCCCTAAATGATTTATTTGCGGTTCCGTTCCATTCTCAACGCTCTTCCGTTGACATTTTTTGCTCTTTAACACGGAATGCTCTCTTTCCGGGGGCTTTTCTCTTTTCTCCGACTCGAGACTGACTGCAGTTAGTCATGCTTATTATTATTATTATTATTGTTGTTATTACTATATATATGTATGTACGGATGTATGTACATTACATTTCCCGGCGAAGTGGGGAAATCAAAATCAGTTCACTTCGCGAAGTCGAATCGAGAGGAAATATCCCTTTAAGGGTTCCGACTTTTAGACCGGGGTTTTTCCGGGATTACGCAAGAAAGTTTTTCCTTTTTTCTATATATAATATAATACTATATTTATGTGTGTGAAAATCAATTTCGGATATCATCATCATCATCAGCAGTGGTGGGCACTTTGCCCAGAAAAGCTGAAAAGGCCAAACGCAGCAATTAATAAGTTCGCAATTCGGTCAATAAATACAAAACAAAGAGGCCCCCGAGTGACGGTGCCAAAAATATACAACAAAATAATCAAAATATACAAAATACAAATAAATAAAATACAAAATAAGCTTAAGCACAATCGAATAATAAATTGAAACGTACACAGATAGGCGAACGAAGAGCCTATACTATATTAATGCCTCTGTCTCCGTCGCTCTATATATATTTATTTTCGTTTATGACTCTTGTGTTTGCATATCGCAAATAAGGCAAATGAACTGCCAATGACTTGCAGCTTGACTTCAAGCAAAGACCATATAGTACACAGACAACGATGAAGCTATCAGTACAAACCCCCCTGATTTGCCAAATCCCCTTAGTTATTAACAAGCCATTGCTAACCATCGATGATTCTCCAGTTTAGACCCCCATCTGTTGTTGGCTATTGATAGTCCCAGGAAGCAATCGCTAAATGTCTCTACAATCTTTAAACGAGATGAGGCGAGCCCTCTGCCTCCCCTTTTGAAAGTGGAAAGTTACCAGACTGTGAATATTATTTGTTTGAAAAACTAAACGAGCTATTGTTGCTATTTTTATAATCTAAAAACAAAATACAGATCTTCTATGAAAAATGCAGAAATATGTTCAATATATCATGATCAAAATGTTAATTTTTTCAAGTGATTCTGTCAAGGAAAGTTACCTGAAAGTGAACACAATTGACACATTATTGGGTACAATCTAGAAATGAGGTTCGTTCTTATCATTGCCATTATCATTAACATTATGATTACTATTATCAGTTCGAAATCAAAATGATAATGAAGTACAACTAGTTTTATTATGATTAATTAAGATTGAGCTTTTTTTTCATTTATTATTTATTTTTTACTTTAAAATATACCTAGAAGTGATTATTAAAGTTGTCAGAAAATTATTTATAATATAATCAAGAAGCCTGTACACTTAAAAAAATATTAGAAAAATAAAGAATCATTTGTCTTTGTTTTTTCTTTGTTAAAAAATAAAATTATGAAAATTATTAATTACCAAAGCAAAGGCAATCAAAAAATGGGAAAATATTCAATCAAATAATAAATTATTAAAACTTGTTAGAGATTTTGCTTGTCTTATAATATATATCTTTAACTCCCTAATCCCTAATCATATATTTATCATACCATATATAAAGAGCTTTCTTTGGTCTGGACAATCCCCCGTATCACTCACTCCCTAATTGAGTTTTGTTTATCCAAAATATTGTTTATAATTAGCAAATGTTATTTCAAAAAGCTTTCCCTCTATAGAGAGCGGGAAAAGCTTCTCCACCTGCCTGATTTTACCCAAGTATATACTTTGGATGAACAGATCCGAATCGGTAGAGAGAGAGCAAGAGCAAGAGGTGCGAACCAGAAGAGTTGGCTAGAAAATACAGAGAGAAAGAGCAGAGACCATCAAATAGCAGCGAAAAACAACGCGTAGAAGATGCGCGAATTGCGTCGGAAGGAAAATTTTCTAACTAAATCAAGTGCATAATACAACACACATATATCCAACCGATCCCAACCGAGGCGACGTAGCCGACAGTTGCCCGCCGACATTGCCCAGTGCAGAATCTCGAGCGTAGAGCGTAGACACCTGTCACCGGGAGCAGCATTACATAAAAACCAAAACAAAGAAACCCAAGGCAGGAAAGTCGAACACCGGACAGGGAAAAAAATCCAAAACACAGGCACATATAAGATATATACACGGCGAAATAGGAAAAATCGGAAATAGAACCCACTAGGAATCCGGATCAGGATTAGGCTAAAACCCAGCACAAGATGTCGTACCGCGGCATGCTGAGCGGCAGCTCAGAGGACTCCCTTAGGCCAGTCCCGGATGCTGACTCCTTCGATGGCTCAGTGATGTCCCACCACAAACCCAGCAAGCATCCCATTGTGAGGTCTCCCAGCGGCAGGTGCACCTCCTGTGCCATGAACACGGGGCTGCCGGCGGTGGGTGGCAGTGGAGCCAGCCGGAGTTTAAGCCGCTGCACATGTAAGTGTACCACAGACACGGGAAGAAACAGGTACCTAAACCTGGTTATTTTCATGAAAAATAAAGCTGGCAAATATACCTAACAAATAATAGCAATGGGGTATAGGGTATTTAAGTTTTTGATCACTAGTTTGCAAGTTAAGAAATCAACGGGCAAGTCGATTAAAGTCCATTAAAGTTTCTAACTTAAATATTGTTATATGTTAATGAGATTTTTAAGCCAACAAAATAAATATTTTGGGTACTCACATTTGTCCAGATCCCTCCTCTGATTGATCGTCTCCTTGATCTCAAAATCTCTCCGGTCATATCTGTTCGTTTTTTTGCTCTCTTTGGCTTTTGCGACATAAAGAAAGCAAAAACTTACACTCTCCCACGCAAACAGAGCCGAACATACTGCCTGCCACTCTCTCGGCGAGAGAAAAACAAATAGAAAATCAACACTTAGCACTAAGCTACAAAACAGAGAGGGTACACTGAAACACAAAAAAATTTAATTAAAAAAAATTAAATTTTATTGATAACAAGAAAGGAAGCTAACTTCGGCACGCCGAAGTTTGTATACCCTTGCAGATTGGTTTTGATGTTTATATTATAGATTTAAATGATGAAAACACTCACAAAACAGAGTTTCATTACATTTTACCTATACTTATTATGTTTACAGTTTGACAGTTACAGTTTTACATTCCCAGCTTTACATATTTTATTCATTTACCGATCGGTTTATATGGCAGCTATATGATATAGTTGCCCGATTTTTATGAAATTTATACCAAAATTCTAAAATAATAAAAAAAACGTATATCTCAGAGTAGATAAAAATACGTTGAAAAACAACGAAGCTATAATTTTTTTCCTATTAATTTCCCGATCGTTCCTATGGCAACTATATCATATAGTCGTCCGATTTTCATAAAATTTTTACCAAAATTCTGAAATAATATAAAATGGCCATATCTAAAAAATGGTGCAAAAATGTTGAAAAACAGCAAAGTTATAATTTTTTTCTAAAAATTTATCGAACATTTGTATGACAGCTATATGATATAGTCGTCCGATCCGGCCCGTTCCGACATATATAGCAGTGAGAGTATATAGAAGACTATATGCAAAGTTTCATTCAGATAGCTTTAAAACTGAGGGACTAGTTTGCGTAGAAACAGACAGACGGACAGACGGACAGATGGACAGACGGACAGACGGACAGACGGACATGGCTATATCGACTCGGCTGTTGATGCTGATCAAGAATATATATACTTTATAGGGTCGGAAATGTCTCCTTCACTGCGTTGCAAACTTCTGACTGAAATTGTAATACCCTGCAAGGGTATAAAAATGTATAAAAATAAATATTAAAAAAAAAAAAATATCCGCTCGCATAACACTATAATTCCCAACCAGTTTTAGCATCTTCTGAGTGGTAACCCAGTTGAGGTCGAGTGGTAGAGGTGGTGTGGGTGTGTGGTAGTGTGAAAATGTGGTAGTAGTTGTATATATATACATATGTATGTATATATAAATAATAAATATAATACAATTATTAACATTTTTTTATATTTATTTATTTATTTTTAACTTATCTACTTATTTATTGATATAATGGTTTAGTTAAACAAAAATAGCGCAGATAGGTATAATTTGTCAAACTCCTCTTAATCAGTGTATTTTTTTTTAAACTGGCCCACGCTTTTTGCTTTCGTTTTCATTTGTTTTTTTTATTATTGCTATTTCAGTTTTATTTGTAGTTTTCTTGTTTAGAGTGGGTCGAGGCGAGTGACACTAACCTATATAATATAGGAAAAGTACAGGAAAGCTATTAACAGCCTGCAGATACCCTTTAATATTTATAAAATGAGAGTATTAAATAGTAATGAATATATTTTAAAACAACTTAAATTCAAAGATTATAAATTTCTTGTAAACAGTTTTTTTAAACATTAAAATATTACTTCTTATTTAAATATTTTATTACTTATTTATAAATTCAAATTTTAAACAAAGCTAATTATTACAATAGTAAATGTTTTTAAAATCAATTACTTTACATGATTGAAATCTACTATCTCTTATTTTTTTACCCTAAACCCGATAATTTATATAAAAGTATTTTTATATATGTTTATTTTGATGTATAATTATTATTATTTGAGTTGCTTGACCTTGAAGTGTATTCACATCTTCGCATCTCTGGTATCGCATTTCCGATCTTTGTTTGTTGTTTGTTAAGTGCGTGTTTTGATTTGGCCCGGGCTTTCGCTATCTCCAGTGTCTGGGCACTTGAAAAAATAATTTGTTTGTTTATAAATTAATTAAAATGATATTATTTTTGTATTAATGCTGCTTTTGCTTTTTTATTGATTTATAATTCTATTTTTTCAACTCATATATGTTTTTTTTATATGTTGAGTTTTATAATAAATAAATAAAATAAAATAATGTAAATCAAAGGTAATAAAATAAATCAAGGAAAATTAATTATTTTCCTTAGTAAATATATTTTAAAACTTATAAAATATGTTTACTATTGAATTTAAAAAGAGAAATCTTTGCTTAAATAATTAAATATATTTTTTTTAGTGTCTCGTATTTTTGTATTATTTTTTTTTTTTTGCATATTTGGTTGATGTTTTTTTTTTTTTTGCGGGGCTTTCGCTGTTTTTCTGATGATGCGTCTCTCTGCTGCAGCGCAGCTCAGCCTGGAATTCTCCGATCTCTGTTTACCGATTTCATTGAGGCGACAACTCTCGCCCAGGTTACACCGCCGCCGTCTTTAGTTTTCCATTTTCCCTGCACACCTTTCACCATGAACTTCAATCGCATGGACACTGCCCATAGGTTACGGGTGGATGTCCGTCTCTTTGGGGGCCAGGTGATGGGCCATCAGCCAGAACCTGACGAGGTGTTGTCCGCCGGTGATCCCTTGATTGCCGTCGATGAGCTCTGTAGGTTAATCAGTAAATAAAGTTTTTAAAAGAATTTTTAAACTGAAATATTTACATATTTTTAAATATATTTATAGGTGATCGCCAGGACTCCCCGGTGGATGAAAAGGCCGAGTCCGATGTGGAGCTGACCAACGAGATCTCGGCACCATATGAGGTGCCACAGTTTCCCATTGAACAGATTGAAAAGAAGCTGCAGGTCCAGCGACATCTCAATGAAAAGTGAGTAGTGATTAATTTATAAAAATTAAATATTTATAAGCATGGGATTTCTGCTATAACAAATAAATAATTAAAAAATAACATTAAAAAAACATAAGTGACATAAAAAAAAATCGCTTGAGATCTTCATAATATCAAATAACTAAAAAAAAACATAATTTTAGACTAGTTTTTAATTTTATAAATATTTTAAATTTATATTTTTAATATAAAATAATTTAATAATATACTTTTTTAATATAAAATTAAACTAAAAAAGTCTATAAATGGGTTTATTTCCAATAGCCTTAACAATACATTTAAAACCTTTGCCTATTTATAAACCTTATCAACAAAATCTCAATAGGGAATGCTTTATAAATCACTGATATTGTGAGTGATTATAAAATAGAATATAAAATAAACCCCCCTTTGAATTAAGTCAGTTTGTGTCAAGACTTTCAACCTACGAGTAGCCATATTGAGATTCTGATTAACAGATGAGCCTAGGCGTTTAACGATGTAAGAATTAAAATTATAGGAAATATATAATATGTACTATTATATCAAATTCTGATTTAAAAGCATTAAAAGAAGATTTATTTATTTTAGTACCTAGACCTACATATGTACATAATTATTTATTATTTTTTAAAAATTTAATTAATTATTTATTTATTTTTAATTAATTTATTTATTTATTATTTTATTATTTTATTTATTTTTTATTATTTTTATTATTATTGTTCCCGCCAAGTTACCGACCTTTTTGTTTTTTATTGTCAAATCCCCCTGATCCGTACCTAAATCGAATTCCATTTGTTTTGTTTACTTTACAAAAATTTCAAGTCCCGTCAAAACACGGCGACGGGTTCACAGATCTCGTGATTGAGGGTTCTTATCAGTAAAAGGTCTAAACATAGATTTTCCATTTATTATATGGATTCTATGTAGTATATATAAAGATGGCAGGAATACGGAAATTTTGCCATAATATAACTTAGAAAACTGATATACATTTTTAGGTACTAAAAGAGATATAATAAGGATTTATTTTTGGGTGGATTAACTTGCAGTGATAACGGCTTCCCCTTGAAAACGTAAAAAATAAAATCATTTAAATTCAAATTCAAAATAATTTAAAGGAAGCCTGAATTTGTTCAATATTCTTCATTAAAAAAATATATAAATAATATAATAATTTGTTTTTAATAGTTTCTTTGATTTGTTTTTGTGTTTTTTAATTTTTAATATTTTTTTTATATTGAAAATTAATGCAAACTTACATTTTTTTTATATTTTACCTAAAAAGATATATACAAAAATTATTCGTTTTGAATAGTTTCTTTGGCTTTTTTTTTGTATTTTATTTTTTACGATCAACATTTTTATACGATTTACAGTCAAGACACTTTCATCTAAAAATATCTAAAAAAAATAATACGAAATATCAGTAAACAAAGCTTAAAGTTGTCCAATAGTCTATATAAAATTATATTAAAATGTAAATTATTTGATTTTAATGGTTTCGTTAGCCATTTTCTTTCCTATTAAATTTATTAAAATTGTTTTAAAATTCGTACTTCAGATTTTTATAGCCTAACTGAATATAAACGTGTATTTAAATTGATTTTAATTTAATTTTTATAAAATTTTATCAAAATTCTACCTCATCCATCTTAAGTTACATTTTTAACTTTTTTAAAACTTTTTCTCCGCGTGCACTCGTGCGGGTTCCCTGAGCAGTTTCTATAGACGCGTAATGAGGCAGCCGCAACATGGCAGTGTTGCAATTATCAGGCTCACTGGTGGCCATGTTGGGAGGTTCCAGGTCCCTCCTGGGCACCTGGGACAGTAGCAGTTCCCCGGCTAATACCCAAGAGGTGGGTCTGGGTGAAGGTAGGGTCCGAGTCTGGCCGATGCAGAACACGTTTTGATTTTGAATAGAACAGAATTAGGCAGTCACAACGACGTCGATGAAGACCATGACGGTCATTCTGTTTAGTTTCAACCAAAATGGGCAACAAACACTTGAAGAAATAAGGTTTACCAAGAGTTTGAATAATAAACAAATTTATTTTTCAAACAATTAACATTTTTAAAGTCAGGAACTAAGGGTTTTATAAAGAAATAATTTTTAAAATATTTCTTAAAATACTTTCTTTAAATGTAAAGTATTTTTAGTTTAGTTAAAATTTCTCTCACTGCCGTGTGGGGCTTATGCCATAACGAACCACCACCTGACTGGTGCTGACGAGAAGAGAACCACTATAACCGGCAGAAAGGTAGCCACCGCTGGCCGGGCTCTGGCGCGGATGCCGTCACTTTCAGTACGCTCCGATCCAATAAACGGGAAGCTCGACGGCGCGAAACGCGTCCCAAATTTTTGCCACCTGCCAAGTCAGGCACCAGGCCCAGGCCCGCCGCCACCTGGGCGACCTACGCTGACATTGAGCCACCTCTTCTCCGTCCCCTCTTTTCCGCCACCTCCTCCTTCTCCTCCTCCTCCGCCGCCCAGTGGCCCACTAAAACCAATCGTTGTTGTTCGTGTCGCACGCCAAATAAATAAAATAAAGTAAAGAGGAAGGAAGCCCAAAGGTGGCGGCGTTTTGGAAGAAACTTACCAACACTTGAAGTTTTTTTTTTTTCCAACAAGTTTGTCACGCCAAAAGTCAGGACTGTACAAGTTCAGAGGGGATTCCCCAGCAAGCCTAGTGGAGTTTCCTTCCCCAAAGAATCAGCTAAAGGAATTCCTTAATGGAGAATGTCGTGCGATTTAAATCTGAGACCAAAAACACCTTTATATTTTTGTTAAATAGCAGGGGGTTTGAAGTGTGTTTTCAGGAGTTTTTTTTTAAGAGTTTTTAGTAGTATTTTAGTATTTTGAGTAGTTATTTTAAAAATAAAATAGGAAATATTACAGAAGATTTAGAAAATATTTAAATTTATGAGTTTTTGAAGAGCTTTCTGAGTAGTCTTTTGTGAGTATTTTAAGTCGTGCTTTTGAGTAGTTTTTAAAGTGCCCAAAAATAAAGAGTCTTTGCTTAGAAATAAAGAATACATTTAGAATAAAATAGGAAATAGTACAGAAGATTTAGAAAAGATTTAAAGTTTGTTATAATAAAATACAATATGAGTCTTTAAAAAGTAATTAATAAAAGGAAAGTTATTTAAATATTTAAAACTTAAGATAGATTTCCCAACTTTGTTTAAAGTAAACTCTTAAATTTTTCAAGGAAGATAATAGAACATATAGAGCTCCCATTTATTTCTCGCAGTGTCTCCTCATAAATTGAACCAAGAAAACAAATAAATAGTTCTTACAACAATTAATAGACCCTAACAAAAAAAACCCTTCAAAAACAGACAATCCAAAGGATATATATAAATTGAATTTAAAGAGTTTAACCAGGACACGCAATATCCTATCCAAAAGGTGGTCTAGAGATATTATCATAGCGTGTGCCCCTCTGTTTTGTTGGCTTGCAAATTAGCCAGCAATTGGTGGTGGTGGTGACTCCAACGCACTCCCAATCGATCATTGCCATCTCTCCAAAAAGCTATCAAGGGCTGGAGAGCAGAAAGCTCCAGCCATTTATCGGTGGTCATTGTGCCGAGCAGGATGTCTTTCGCGGATGACAGCTATAGCTTTGGACGCGTCTACGAGTATCAGCCGGAGGATTCCAAGTGGTTAACGAGGCTTTTTTCTATGAATTATATATATTATTTTTATTTTTTATTAATTTTTTTATTTAATATTTAATTAAATATATTTTTAATCACAAATTTTACTTACTTTACAGGCAGGCAACAGGATCCCGACCCGTGTCCGCTGCCCCACACGTTCCCTACGTACACAGGGAATCCTCCAGCAGCGAGGGACCCGAGTCCATGATCGAAATGGAAAAGACCGATGCGGACATCAACTTCCAGCGTGTCTCCATTTCCGGCGAGGATACCAGCGGCGTTCCTCTGGAGGATCTGGAGCGTGCCTCGACTTTGCTGATTGAGGCTCTGCGTCTGCGCAGCCGCTACATGGCCATGTCGGATCAGTCGTTTCCCTCGACCACGGCCAGATTCCTCAAGACAGTGCGGCTCAAGGATCGTATAGACAATGTGCCAGCCAAGGTGGTTTCGGGTAAGTGGATCTCAGTTATAAACTTACTTTCATAACAGAAATCAGCTCTTGGATCTCGAATTCAAGTTCTGCCCTTGTACAGTGGTTCGATTGTTGTTTAACTAAGGTTTTGGAGTGGTTTTACTTAGAGGATAAATGTACCTGGGGGAGATACAGTTCTTCTCCAGATAATTTTCCTAGTATTTCCACTCCACAGCGTTTTTTGTGTAAATATGTGAATAAGGAAATTGTTGTCCCTAGATGTTGTTGTCTTGCACTAGCAATTGCCATCACTTTTCAGTGATATTTCTGTATAATACAAACTTTGAAAGATTTAGCGTGTGTTTTTGTGCAAACTGTACTCGCTGGCGTTGCCTACCCGTTGAGATTTAGAGCTCTCTCTCAGCTCTCAGCTCCTCCTTTTGCCTCGCTCGTGTCTCGTCCCCATTTGGTTTCGTTTCTAATTTCATGTCCTCCGTTTTTATTTTAGAGCCTCAGCCAGAGCTATTTGTATAATCTCCATTAGTTTATTCCTCTTCTGATCTATTTCATTGTGACAACCATTATATGTTTGAGCTTTTTTAGCGTTGTTTTGTTTTCCTTCCACCTTGATTTTAACTATTTATTTCTCTTCTCGTATTTTTCATTATTTTTCTTATAGACATCATTCGCAAAATGAGTGTAGCCCCCATACAAGGTAATTCGTGCGCACACCTGTTTCCAGTTTCTATCCTATCCCTAGCCTAGGCTAGTCCCTCCTCTCCCTAATCTGTTCCTCACAAAGACGACAAGAACAGCTAAATGTCCTCTTCCTGAGCCTTTCCACCCTTTCCTTTCTGTATGCCTGACATTTGAATTCCGTTTCCGTTAAGCACAGCTTTCTCTTTTACTGCAAAAAATATTAACAAAAGAACAAGGCACCTGCAATCGCTGCCTTCATCGCAGCCAGTGTTGCCACCCACCAGTGTTGTTCAGTGGTTTTTTACAAAAAAGTATTGCTATGCTTTGTTTGCTGTAAAAAATGAGACTTGTTAACCAACTTACATTCGTTTTGTGTCTTAATTTTGTGTAATATTTATAAAAATTAACTCAAAATATAATAATAATTTGTGTATTTAAATCAATCATTATTTAACCACAGCTTGATTTATTTTTTATTATTTATTTCCATTAAAAAAATCTATAATTTGTTTTTTATTTTTATTACATTATTAAAATAATCCTTTAAATTAAAAATAATAATACAATTGTGGCAACACTGAACTGTAGCTGTCTCGCTCATTCGCTTTCCTGCCTGAAACAGCACGATTTGCAGCATCTGAAGCTTCTCTGACGGTCACTCGCATGGAAGTAATCCCTTTACAGTTTATATTTGACCTTTAAATGCATTCTTTGCATTTATTAGTTTGTGTTTCTTGCTTTAGTTTTGTACCTTGTTTGTTTGTCCTATTATTTTGCTAACAAGAAAAGAACAATAAAAATATCTTCCACTGTATTTTTGAACGCCCAAAAGCCTTATAAAAAAGGTTAAAAGACACGCTCTACGTAGATCACTTTGTAGAACAAAAGTAACCAAGTCCACTCTAGCCTTAGGGTGGGCCTCAGTTGAATGGAAAAGCTTTAAATTGTATTTAATTTTCGGTATTAATATAATTTAAATTGTATTCAATAGTAAATACGATTTCTATTCATTTTTTTTACTATAATATTTAATTAAATATTATTGATCAATTATTAAAATATATAATATAAAAAAAGGTAATTTTTGATACTTTGACACGTTTACAACCATTTAAGGCAACAATATATTTATGTATTAAATTTGCCTACTTTTGAGGTCCACCCTAAAGTATCTTTAACCACAAAACAACACTCGCACGACCACCCAAGTGTAGAGTGTAGCATTTGCCACTAACTGTAACTGTACCTGTACCCCGCTTGCCAACACTGTTCGAACGCCCCTTGCAACTAAACAAAACAAAATTCTATTTTCAAATTCTGTTTCTACCGAAAAAAATAAAATAAAACGAAAACCAATCCACAAATCACAAAACCACGACCACACCACCACAAATCGTTGCGGATCTGCAGATGTTCACGCGAAGCCATCCTTGAAGACGCTGACGGATCCTTGGAATGTCGAGTTTCCACCAGACGAGAATTTTGTGATCAAGCCTGTGAACGGAGTGTTTCACATTTATGCGGACGAGGTAAGTAATTTCTAAGTAATTATTATGTATAAAACATTAGTTATTAATTTAATAAATAACAAGAGGGAATGTTTAGTTTAATTTATAAAAAAAAAAGGAGTAAGGAAGCCAACCTGGTTAGGAGTGGAAATGTTTTCTAAATTTATTAAAATATATTTTATTTAAATTAAAACTCTATATATAATGAAATATTTTAATGCTGCTATTTATATATCAGTGATCAATTAATATTCCTTTGATATATCGGTCCAATAGAACTGGAAAAAGAGGTATTTTAAATTAATAAGATTTTTATTGATATACACTACTGGCCGAAATAATAAGTACATGCGTATGTGGTTTGTTTCAAGACCTATAAAATTTGTTTGATAAACTTAAGAAAAAAACCCACTTTATTTTTAGTTTCCGTACTTATTCCAGATAATAAAAATAACTGCCTAAAGGATTTTACATTTCAAATTTAGAGACAGGGGTCAATATTATCCAAAAAGCATGAAAATGGGCTGGCCGAAATAATAAGTACACCCATTCTTCTAAGTCTAGAACTCGGAACGTATTAAATATTTTTCACTTCTTTCTACTTATAAGTAAACTTAGATTAGTATCCAATAAAACCACACTCGTTTTAGGTAACTTTCGCTATTATTTTTGGCATTCTAGTAGGAAGTCTGTGGCAAGTCAGTACTAGAAGCTGAGACCAGGTTTCTTTAGCAAATCTTCACAAATCTTCAACATTTTAAAATGTTTTGGTTACAATTCGACGTTTTAAGTTTCCCCACAATGTTTAGTTTAGGTTTATGACAGGAGACTGACTTGACCATCTCATAACAGTTACCTCTCTCTTGCCAAAAAGGACCTGTTTGGTCATCCAAGGCCTTTTCCGGCGAAATTGACATTTAAATTTGAGCTCGAACAGTTTGTCGTAGACTGCATGAGACAGGATTACAAGGACGTACACCCAAAAGGTTCTATTACTTCAAGGAAAATTTTTTCAGATGAAGCAAAAGCTTTGCAACATTTTTTTGGTATGGTCTGAACCGGAGGTGGAAACAAAATACTTTGGGGCAATGAAACAAAAATATTTCTTTTTGAAAACGATTCTAGACGGTTTGTACGTCAAACGAAAGTAAAAAAATTCAGCTTTGAAACGCGAAAATAAAAGTTAAGCCCGGAGACAGATGCATAAAGGTCAGGGGCTGTTTTTCCTGGCATGGCGTTGTGCAAATACATCTCATAAATGGTATTACGACCGAAATCGAAAATAAAACTTTTTTAACTGGCATCTTCTAACCATATGCTTAGGGAAACATGCCCTTCCGATAGATTTTTCAACGAGATAACGATCCAAAGTAAACCTTAAAAGTCATCATGGCCTGGTTTAGGGACAAAAAAGTAACCGTCATGGGTTGGAAAAGTCAGTTTCCGAACTCATACCTAATTAAAAATTTATGGGGAAACTTAAAACGTCGAATTGTAATCAAAACATTTTAAAATGTTGAAGATTTGTGAAGATTTGCTAAAGAAACCTGGTCTCAGCTTCTAGTACTGACTTGCCACAGACTTCCTACTAGAATGCCAAAAATAATAGCGAAAGTTACCTAAAACGAGTGTGGTTTTATTGGATACTAATCTAAGTTTACTTATAAGTAGAAAGAAGTGAAAAATATTTAATACGTTCCGAGTTCTAGACTTAGAAGAATGGGTGTACTTATTATTTCGGCCAGCCCATTTTCATGCTTTTTGGATAATATTGACCCCTGTCTCTAAATTTGAAATGTAAAATCCTTTAGGCAGTTATTTTTATTATCTGGAATAAGTACGGAAACTAAAAATAAAGTGGGTTTTTTTCTTAAGTTTATCAAACAAATTTTATAGGACTTGAAACAAACCACATACGCATGTACTTATTATTTCGGCCAGTAGTGTATTTATACCATTCCATGGTATTTAAATTTCAGTAAAAAGCTTGAAAAGCGCTGAAGGATTCATTTCCGACCCCATAAACCATATATATTCTTGATCAGCATCAACAGGCGAGCCTTTCTAGCCTTATGGTAAAGAAAAATTTTTTTTACCAATTTTTCCCAAATTCTCAAAAATTGAAATTTTTTTAATATTTTAAAATATTTATTTTAGTATGCAGATTTGTTAACCTAATAAAAACTAACATAAAACTGTTTTCCGATTCAAAATTAATTAATTTTTGGCGAAGTTATGACATTTTTAAGCTTTAAATTTTCATACAAAAAAGGGCAAATTTTTGCAAAATTGATAAAATTTCCAAAAAATTACCAAATTTTGAATTTTTAAAAATATTTAATTAAGAATGCAGATTGGTTAACCTAATAAAAACTAACATAAAACTGTTTTCCGATTTAAAATAAACGAGTTTTTGGCGAAGTTATGAAATTTTTAAACTTTCAATTTATGCGGATTACGTCCATAAAAATAAATCAGTCAATATCAAATAACGAACCTATGCCATTTATTTAACAATAACAAATAATACAAATTCACTCTTTAAAACGATTTTATTGCAGGAGGAGAAGAACGAGATCATCTTCGAATACCCGGATATGAGCCAGTTTGTGAATGACATGCAGGTCATGTGCAATATGATTGCCGATGGGCCACTGTAAGTACAGATTCTGCAAGCAGCCAAGCTAAAAACGGCAGAGATTAGGCAAAAATCGATTTTAAATCGATTAAAATGGCTGCTCTACCAACAAATATTTTTTTAATAATTAATATTTTTCCTATTTGCAGCAAGTCTTTCTGCTATCGCCGCCTGTGCTACCTGTCGTCCAAGTACCAGATGCACGTGCTCCTCAACGAGCTGCGTGAGCTGGCCGCCCAGAAGGCTGTGCCGCATCGCGATTTCTACAATACCCGCAAGGTGGACACCCACATCCATGCCGCCTCCTGCATGAACCAGAAGCATCTGCTGCGCTTCATCAAGAAGACGCTGAAGAACAATGCCAACGAGGTGGTAACCCACACCAATGGCCAGCCAATGACCCTGGCCCAGGTCTTCCAATCGATGAACCTGACCACCTATGACCTAACCGTGGACATGCTGGACGTGCATGCAGATCGGAATACGTTCCATCGTTTCGACAAGTTCAACTCCAAGTACAATCCGATCGGCGAGTCCCGGCTCCGGGAGGTGTTCCTCAAGACGGACAACTATCTGAATGGCAAGTACTTTGCCCAGATCATTAAGGTGAGGCCCAAGTCATTTTTTATATATTTATATTTTAAATATTTATATTATACATATTTATATTTTCTATATTTATATTTTCTATATTTATATTTTAAATATTTATTTATAAATCCCACAGGAAGTGGCCTTCGATCTGGAGGAGTCCAAGTATCAGAACGCCGAGCTGCGCCTGTCCATCTATGGCAAGTCACCGGATGAGTGGAACAAGCTGGCCCGCTGGGCCATTGACAATGATGTCTATAGCTCGAATATCCGTTGGCTGATCCAGATACCGCGTCTTTTCGATATCTTCAAGTCAAACAAGATGATGAAGTCATTCCAGGAGATCTTGAACAACATCTTCCTGCCGCTCTTCCAAGCGACAGCCCGACCCAGCAAGCATCCGGAGCTGCATCGCTTCCTGCAGTATGTGATTGGTTTCGATTCCGTGGATGATGAGTCCAAGCCGGAGAATCCGCTCTTCGACAACGATGTGTCCCGGCCAGAGGAGTGGACGTACGAGGAGAATCCCCCCTATGCGTATTACATTTACTATATGTACGCCAACATGACGGTTTTGAATAAGTTTAGGAAGTGAGTATATGGATATAAATGGATGGTTTTGAGATTTTTAATTTACCTTTTTTGTATATTCCAGGGAACGCGGCATGAACACCTTTGTGCTGCGACCCCATTGCGGCGAGGCCGGACCCGTCCAGCATTTGGTCTGCGGCTACCTAATGGCCGAAAACATCTCCCATGGCCTGCTGCTCCGCAAGGTGCCCGTGCTGCAGTATCTGTACTATCTGACCCAGATCGGAATTGCCATGTCGCCGCTATCGAACAACTCGCTGTTCCTCAACTATCATCGTAACCCGCTGCCTGAATATCTGGCCCGGGGACTCATAATCTCCCTATCCACGGACGATCCCCTGCAGTTTCACTTCACCAAGGTATAATTATACACAAATTACTTCCCTGAGCTTCTTCTATAATTAATTCTGCTTCTGTGATCCTCCAGGAACCCCTTATGGAGGAGTACAGCATTGCGGCCCAGGTGTGGAAGCTTAGCTCCTGCGATATGTGCGAGTTGGCCAGGAACAGCGTGATGATGAGCGGTTTTCCTCATCCCGTGAGATTTATTATTTATTTAGAGTAACAATAACAATAACCCTAATCCCTTTCTTGACCAGATAAAGCAACAGTGGCTGGGGCCCGTCTACTACGAAGACGGAATCATGGGCAACGACATTACACGCACCAATGTTCCCGAAATTCGGGTAGCCTACCGCTACGAGACCCTGCTGGACGAGTTGTCCAACATTTTCAAGGTGAACCAGACGTGCGGCGCCGCCAGCGAGCCCTCCTAGGCAGCTGCTGCTGGGTCCTGGCTTCCTGCGCTAGCTACCAACCTATATATGCGAAAATAGCTAAGGATTATACGGATATATACGCTAGTTATACAAATATATACAAATATATTCTAATTGTTTCTGTTCTAACCCAAAAAAACACAAAATGTAAACGCGGCAGACCAAAACAAACTTTAAATATATATACAAAACTTGTGTACCGGAAGAGCACGTGTTTTTTTTTAATAGGGAAAAATAGCTAGATGCGCATCACTGGTTGAAAGTACGATGCCATTTTGCCCCAATAATTAATAATAGCTAGATGCGCATCACTGTTTGAAAGTACGATGCCATTTTCTACCAATAATAAAAAATAGCTAGATAAGCATCACTGGCATTAAGCCCGAATTTTTGCTCCCCCAATATTGCAATATAGCCAGATGAGCATCACTGATGCACATGAGCATCACTGATGCAAGCGAGCAAAAATTCCCATGCAAATTGCCCGTTTCCCAAATTGGGGTAACAGGCGAACAGAAACCAGCAGCAAGCGACTGAGAACTGTTATAAACTGTTATAAAAAGTCTAAGTTTCGAACCATTTCGGAGCAAGCTAGTTAGCGGAGACTCAAACCTTTTGAATTCAAATTTTGCCGGTAATTTTAAATAAACTGCACCTGGGCACACTAAGGCGGTTGGTCGATAAATTCAAATTCAAATTTTGGCAGTTAAATTTTAAAAAATTCTAACAAATTCAGAAAAAATCTAAAAAATTCAGAAAAAATAAAAAAAATCCGAAAAAATCTAAAAAATCCAGAAAAAATCTAAAAAAATGGCGAACAATTTTTAAAAATTAAGAATGCAAATTTGACATTTGAAAAAATACAGTAAAAAAATACAATTATATAAAATTAAAATGTTTTTGTTTTAAAAATTGTTGTTGTGAAAGAGGCGTTGCTATAGAATGTCCCACCCACCCTTTCTGAAAATCCCCAATAAATCGAATAGTCAGCGGTGTGTTTTTTTTTTGTAATTTATTTTATTTGCTTGTGGCTTCTTTTTATAATGTAATGCATAAAAATGGTGGTGTCTTTTTTGTTGTTTGTTTAAAAAATAAACCATAAACATTTCACTTTATTAGTTAAATACAAATAAGTTTACTTCTTGTACACGACAAATAGTTGTTCGTTCAGTTTCATTCATTTCTTTTTTTTTTAGGTTTTCCTTACTTTTGTTACTTGCAAAAAAAGTTTCTCGTGGTTCGTGTTACAGTTGTAGTTTTGTTATATTTTTTATATGTTTTTTTTCGTTTTTTGATTTTTGTTTTTTGTTTTTTTTTTTTTGTTGTTTTTAAGTCATCGTAAATGTCTTGTATAAGGAAACGCAAAAAATCTCTGAACAAGTTTTTGATTTTCTCAATTCTCATTTCTCTTTTTTTTTGGTTTCTTCATTTTGGAACGGCTTTATTGAACTTTTGTTGTTGTTGTTTTGGTTGCATATACATAATTAATATTTGTTTGTTTTCTTTGTTTTCCATTGCATATTGCATTTAAAAACATTAATTCTTTGGCAGGCATTGCATTTCGTAGTTTTTGTAAAAGTTGTGTTCTCATTTCTTTATTTTCTCAACGCTCAACGCAGGATATTCGAAACCGAAAAACGCAAATTGTATCGAAATATATATGTAAGTAAGAGAGGTATAAAAAAAACACAATAATCAATAGTTTTTAACTTCATTTTCTGTCCCATGTCCATTTCATTACATTTTATTTTCAATTTTGTTTATCAAATACACATCAATACTTTGGTAGTTTAAAAATTTTGTGTTTTCACTTGTTGTTTTGTTTTGCTTTTCCTTTTGTTTTGTGCTAAATTACATTTTAAAAATATGCTTAATGTTTTTGTGGTTGGTTTTCGTTTTAATTTTTTTGTTCGTTTTTGTTTTTAGTTTTTTTTGTTTTGTTTTAAGTCAAAGACACGAAAGTGAAAGAGGTTTTTGTTTTTGGTTTACGTCTGTTCGCTTAACTTATTATTTTGTTTATCCTTTTGGTTTAGTTAAGTGTGTGTTTACTGTACTTGTTTAGTGTAATGTGTTATGTTTTTCGCATGCGCTTAATTTTAAAACACCGAGAGTTTGCTCAAAATTGTTTAATGTTTTCATTTTTTTGTTTTGTTTTTTGCTTTCTTTCCGAATGAAATTTTAAATATCGAAATATATATATGTATATATATAAATTTTCGTGTGTTTTTCGCTAATGTTTTTGCTTTTTTATTTACTCTTACATTTTGCCATTGTTTATTGTATTTTTTTTTTTTTGGTTTCTTTATTTTTTTTGTTAGTTTTTATTTTGGTTTAAAAACACCGAAAGCTTAAAATTTAGAGATTTTCCTAAAGTGTAAATTTTTTACAATTTCTCATCCATCTCTGTTGTTGCTGTTGTGGTTGTTTTTGTTGTTGTCGTGGTGGTAGTGGTGGTGTGTTGTTGTGGTGTTTTCGTCTCTGTTCTGCGATCGCATTCTCACAGATCTCAAATATTACGAAGAAAGGATGAACCTAGCGATGTAGACCTAACCGAAACGAAAGAAAAACTCTATTAATTCCGCTTTTTACGAAAACGCAAGTCCCATTAAAAAATCTGATCTGTTTGCTTCTAAAGCATATTGCTAAGCTCCTACCGCTTCCGCTTCCGTTACCGTTCCATTTCCGTTCTGTTCCCCTGCTCTGCGTACCGTTCAATAAATAGGTCAAGGAAAAAACTGTATCACATTTTCAATTACGTCTTTGTTCGTAGCACCTTCATAAACATACCCATACCTCCTTGCTCTCTCTCTCTTTCTCTTCCGCTGCCAATCCCCCCGCCTATATACAGATCTTTAACCTACCAATACAGTTGGAGAAAAAAATTGCGCTTCGGATTTTATCACAAAAATAATTACAACTCTGTGCGAATGCACCAAACCCCCTTTGCCCTTGCCCTTTGCCTCTCCTAAACTAACATTGCTTCTAAGTACCATTGTTTTTAAACCTTAACCTCTCCGTATTGGTTCCATTATTTCCATAACGTTCACACACATTCTTTCTCCTTCTCTTAAACTCTCTCTATCTCGCTCTGTTTTGTCTTTCCCCCTCCCACAGTGATAATCGAATTAATCAGAAATTAATGTAATCGTTTGCTAAAACCGGTTATATCAGTCCGGGAAATTGCATTGTTTGTTGTAGAAAGCAGAGCTAGTAAATTATCGAGCAGACTATCGTTTGCTAAATAATTTGTTGCAAAAACTGTTTTTAAATCAATTATAATATATAAGCTGGGATTTTTTTAAGATAAATATATTATTAAAACTTTGTCTGGTAATAATTAGAAAAGGCTTTAATTTCTATTTATGTTTTGACATAAAATAAAGTTTGCAAGAACCTCGATTCGGTGCGATATTGTATTGATTATTTTGATAGTCTTCTCGATTTTCTGCCAGCTCTAATGAAAAGTCATTCTAAAGTTCTTGTTTCCATTTAAACATTCAAGAGTGGTGGAATATTTGTGGGGGTTACTGATCACTGATCACTGATCTAATGACAATTTGTTTGTGTTGTTCGTGCTGATGTCAATGTCGTTGATGATGAGATCATGTCAAAAATCAGTCTCTATTGCATTTTGTTCTATTTTATGTGGGCTTGCTCTATTTCTCTGGTTCTCAGTATAAGTGTTTTGTTTTCATATTTTTGATTTCAGTTTTTCTTCAGTTTTTCTTGAGTTTTTCACTTAGTTTTTCGTATTTGTTTTCATCGTTTTTGTTTTGTAGTACACCTTAGAAAAATATCACATTCTTACTTCGTTCGTTCGAGAGACATTTTTATGTGTTTTTTTTTTATAGATTTGTTTTCTTAATTTTTTTTTTGGTTTGATTTTTTTGGTTTGCTTTACATTTTTATTTATTTTGCTATTTCGATTTTGTATGTATTTTAAAGTTCTATTTACACATATTTAGGTTTCCATTTTTGCACGACTAAAATATATAAAATTTAAAAAATATTTGATTGAGGTCATTTCAGAATTATTGCTAAGTATTTCCTCCCATTTTGCTCGCATTTTACCCTCTCGCCACTCCATCAGCTGCAGTTTTTTAACCATTCGAATTTGATCTAAAATTGTTTCTTAAGTTTCGTATAATTTGTAGACACCAAATTCTTGTTTTTTTTTCTTTTTTATGCATGTATACATATAAAAAAAAAATTGTTTTGAAACATTATTTTGTCCTTACGTTCACGACTCGCCTAAGACCTAGGTAAACCCCTATAAATATTTTTGAAGAGACACACGACAGCTAATGTGAGAGAAGAGACTTTGAGAGAGTAGGAGAAACAAATACAATATACTTTTAGTTTTTTAGTTTACTTTTACTTAAGTTTTGCTCACAACATCAACAATGAAATATTTGACTTTATAGATTTTTTGAGGGACTTCTCTTGTTTGGTATTTTCTGTAAAAATCTCAAAAAGACGCCTAACACCGAAAAATATATTGCATGTACTACATTTTATGTTTATTATGCTTCTGCTTCGCTATTTTTTTTGTTCTTTTTGTTTTTTGTATATTTTTTGTGTGATTTTTTGAGTTGGTTTCCATTTCTTTTTATGTATTTACATACATGAGTTAGTTGCTGTTAACAATTTATTTTGATTTTAGACAAGTTAAAATTGTTCCTTAATCAAACGTAAAATCAATAAACCGATTGACTTAAATGATTTCGACTACATTATATAGAACATTGTTATATTGTTTATGCTTCTATTTAGATTTTGTTTTCGTTTTTCGTTTTGTTTTTGCAAGTGAAACCTCGAAATTGTCTTAATTTCATGAAATCGTAGTTTTATCTTTGTTAATTGTATTTTTAAAACTTGTATGTATTAGCTAAATGATTCAGGGGCACCCTTACGCTCTTGGTGATTAATAATATTTAAAAATAAGGAATCAGGGAATTTAAAAAAAGTTAAAATTTAGAAATTTAGTTTCTGTAAGTTTCTAAAATATCTTTAAAATATTTAAAATACTTTTTTTTGTAATAGTTTTAATAATTTTTAGAGGCTGCTGGTGCCCCTCTCTGGTGGTGTGTCTATGCGTGTACGTGTGGGAGTGGAATACCATTAGTTTGTTGTTGTTTTATATATATAGAGTTCATTCTCCATTTTGGTTTTGAGTTGCTTCCATTTATTTTAGTCAAATGAACAACATTTATAATTATTTTGTTGGGCTTTTGTGGATTCGATTTTTGTTTGGTTTCAAAATATTTGCACGTCATGTATATAATAAGATGTATGTATATAATGTATATATATCTATTTATATAAGTAATAGACACCGAAAACCACATGTACATTTATGTATCTGTATATAGATATAATATTTGGGTTTCATTTTGTTTTTGCCTGCTGCCTCTGCTTTTCGCTACTCGCTACTCGCTACTCGTTACGCGTTACTCGCCGCTTTACTCACGCTCTCTCTCTCTCTCCCTCTCTCTTGTTGCTGGGCTCGTAATTCTAGGGTATATCAATAAATATTGTATTTAAAAATGCATTCGATTTGTAATGCCAAAAGTTTTTCGTTGTTGGATTTTGTAATGTAATTTTCGGTTACACGTATTTTCCTGCATTTGTTGACAATGCCTTAAAAAAACTGCCCTACGTGGTAAATTTGTAATATATATATATATGTATATATATATAGATATATATATTTATATATATATATGTATGTATATGCATGTATATGCGGAAATAAGAGTCTTGAATCCCTCCAATTTTATATTTTTTTTTTTGGCTTAAAATCAATTTTTCTCGCTCAGCACATTCATTAAGAAAAAAAAATTCAAGAAAAAAAATCCACTATCCCCTTAATCTTATTTCGCCTTAATTTTGATGGTGATTATTTAATTATTTTCTTTAGTTATCAACATTTACTTGCACACACACCTAAGAAAAAATTACATTAATTGTAGGTTTTCTGTTTTTTTTTGTCCTTTTTTTCTCATTAATTTCGATAATATTGCTTTCCTTTTTTTGGGGTTCCTTAAATAACATTAAACTTGTGGTAGCTTACCGCAATGAAGTTTCTAGAGTTACTTTTCTGGGTTTCCGTTTTCCACTTTTCCGCTTTTCTCCTCTTGTCCTTAGTTTCCTAAAATTCTTTTAAGGCGCATTTTCAACTATAAACTGAAGGAAAATATGGTTGTAATTTATGAGTGAGTTTTTTTTTCATGAAAATCGACGGATGGTTTTCAGATCGACGGATGCTGGGGGGGTGGGGGTCATGAAAATAAAAAAGAAGAAGAGTTCGTTGCAAAAAAACTTTATTAATAAATACTATCAAATAATAATTCCAAAAATAATAAATGTGGCCAAAAAAAATTGATAATATTAGGATTGTCATAACTGTAATAATAATAATAATAATATTAATAATAATAATCGTACAAATAATTAATTCACATACACAGCTCACAGCTTGTTCTTGTTCTTTTTCTTCTTCTTTTAGAGTTTGGAGTTTGGAAAAATTGAACAAATTTAATTTAAACAGAGTTTCCAAATCGATTTCGGCATGTGTGATGTTTACATTAAAAACATTAAATTTAGAATTACCAAAAGAGATAACTTAAAATAGGTATAAAAGTATTTGTTTTTAAAGAATTTAGCTTTGTGTTTTTGTGTGTTTACAAAAGGCAGTGTTGATATTTGTTTGCAGTGTTGCATGTTGTTCAAAATAAATACAAAAAAAAAGGAAATAAAATTGAGAAGATTGTCAACAATTAATAAACTAAAACTATAACATTTGCTAGAAGGCCCTGATCTTTGACGGTTCACATATACTGACACAGAATCGAAAATGATAAATCAAATGTGTTTGTTGTCTTTTCTTTACGATTAATCTTTATATCAAATGTATATTTATATATTTAAAATATATGAAATAGAAGTAATTATAGTAGATTAGGCAAAAAAAAAGCATAAAAAGGTGCGGTAAATTTGTTAATCTATCACATAACACATACATATATTCCTAGATAAATATACATATATATATATATATATATGTATGTATGTATTCGCTACAATTGAACACTTAAGTTGTGAGAGAAAGTTGGTTTTTTTTTGGGCAGAACTGTGTTTGCTGGAGAATAAATAAATTACACAAATAATCGAAGAATAATCGATAAATAATCGAATGATACTAGGGTTCAAGAACCCCGCCTGGATGGTAGATTCTCTCCCAGTCGCCTTGCCTCTCTTTCTGTTTCTCTATCTCCATCTCTCTATCTCTATCGGTTTCTAACTATCTAACTATTTTCTAACCCTCGCCGATTGGTAAAAATTAGGATTAGTTAACGCTTCGCTTTCAGCTTCTATATGTTCTATATGTTTATCGTACGCTTTGACAGTGTTTTGTCTAGACTCATTTCGTTACGGGGAAATATACATATATTTCTATATATATATATTTATATATTTGTTGGGGGGGGGGGGTTCTGTCGATCTTTTGTGGACTGCTTCTTGGTGGATTCCGTGAGTGTGTGTGGGCTGGCTATCGGTGTTATCTGTTATCGGTCATCGGTTATAAGTTAGCTTCCGTTTCACTTTAATATTTAGTTAAATTATGAGGTACTTGAAACTTTTTGGCACAGTGAAAGTTTTCATTTACTTTACTTCTACCTTTTTACTTTGATTTGTTCTCGTTATTATTTTAGCTTTTTTCCCCACTTTAGTTTTTGGTACGACAAGTAATTCTTCTTGCTTAATTAACAAAAAAAAAAAAAAAAATGTATAAAAGAAAGAAATGGCTGTCTTCCTTTCGTTACCCATATTTTTGCATTTTTTTAATTTTTCACTTTACACTTTAATTCGATGTTCTTGGTTCAAGGTTTTCCATTCTTCTCATTTTTTTTTTGTGTGTGTTTTTCTTTCTGTGTAAACTGAACTATATAAAAGCATATAGAGAAATCGTTTGGGAAATCATATTGGCTTGTCCTATGAGTTTTTACCTATTTTATTGTTTAATTGCACATTTCGTTACCAGTGTGGCCAGAGTCCGAAATCCTCTATTGCTGTACTTGTCTGCCAGGGTTGCCATCAGGGTTGCTATAAACTATTCTTGCCTGTTCAGCTTGTTTGTTTGTTTGTTGGTTTTCAGTAGTTTTTTCTGTTAAAACTTCTATGTTGTTTTGTTGTTACTATGATCACAGTTAGTTTTGTGTTGTTGTAGTTGCAGTTACTGTTGGTGTAATTGTAATTGCTATTGTTAATTGTAATTGTTAATTGTTGCTATGTTTTGATTTGCTTTGCTTTGTATATAAATTAAACTATTGACGGTGGTAGGTAGATCCTATTTTCTTCTTTACACAATCATAATCCTATCGACTCCCTCTCATCCTGAACGGAAAATTCGGTGAATAAATAATGCTTGCAGCTAGCACGAATCGGCGTTGTTTTCACGTTTTTCACATTTAGTTTTTCACTTTTTAGTTTTTAGTTGGCTTATAAACAATTAACTAAAATCCCAATTAGTTTATTGTTTGTTTTTTGTTTTTCTGCGGTAGGTAACAGAGTTAGCTCAGTTATTGCATTGATTCTTGCAAAAGTACAGTTGAGTTGCGTTCATGTTCATTCATGCCTCGGTTTTGTACAAATTGTTGCTAGTTTAGCGTCTATAGATCGGTGTAAAATTAAATATATTTTATCTATTGTGTGTGTGTGTGTATATATCAACGGCAGATTTTTGGATATTTATGTTTAAATATCTCTTCTCATGTTTCGGTAGAAAATACAGACTATTTAGTTTATTGCATTTTGCTTTGTGGCTGCTTTTGTTTGTTTTGTTTTCTTCGTTAAAGTGTTGTCTTGTCTCAAAGAACCAAATCGCATTTCGTTCTTAAATCCCCACTTAGTTATACTTGTAAAAAAAAAGGTTTATATATAGATGTATATCATTTTGTGCTACGTTAATTATAATTTGTAATTATAATTTGCAATCCTTACACACACATAATTATATTTAGAGAGAGTTGGGTGTATATTCAGAATCTTAAACACTTTAATACCCGTGCTAATTAGTTGCCCGTAATCTTGTTTTTTTTTTCTTCTTTTAAACTTTTTTCTAGCTTGCACCAAAAAAAATTAAGCAAAAAAAAAAATAATAATAATAAAAAAATTAAAAAAAATACCCCTTTCTATGAGAAGTTCCTTCTTCTTTCTATCATCTTCCCCCTTTTGTAATAATATTTATACATAGCTTTCTTCCTGTAGTCTGAGTGTGTGTGTGTGGTGGTCCTGAGGCTGGTTCCTTATCTGCGTAGGAGCCGCCTCCTACGCGCCTCATCTCAGCGCGGCGCATTATGGATGTGGGTGGTGAGGTGCTTGGACAGATAATCAGCCCGGGCAAAGCACTTGCCGCAGGATTCGCAATGATACGGCCTCTCCCCCGTGTGGATCCTCAAATGCCGCGTGAGATCCGATTTCCCACCAAAGGCTCGGCCGCAAAAGAGGCACACAAAGGGTCGCTCGCCCGTGTGCTTGCGCACATGCAGCTTGAGGTTCTCCTTGGAGCGCACACACTTGCCGCAAAAGGGGCAGGCAAAGCGCGAGGTGGCAGGTCTGCAGGAAAGGTATTTGTACATTATAATGTTTCCTCCTTTGATCTCCCAAAAAAGCTAATACCAACCTCTTATCCCTCTGACGCTCGGCGGCATCCACGCGCAAAAAGTTGAGTATGGAGGCCTCTTGCGGATTTAGACCCAAAAACTGTTCATTGGGTATCCGCTCGGCATTGATCAGCGAGGTCAGTGAGCTGAGGGAGCTGATTCCACCGCTGCCTCCATTGCCGCCCGAGCTGGAGCCGCCGCCGCCGCCACTTCCGGTTGCCGAGGAACTTCCTGCTCCGCCAGAACTGCCGGCGGTGGCAGCTGCCACGACAGCAGCAGCCGCCGAGGATGAGGAGCCAGCGGCCGAGGTGGCCCCCAGTGGCAGTGAGACATGGCCCAGGTGGTGCGCCGGATGGTGCGGCTGCTGCTGCTGGTGGTGGTGATGTTGCTGCTGCTGCTGCTGATGATGGTGGTGGTGATGGTGATGATGGTGCTGCTGCTGCTGCTGATGCGAATAGGAGGGATCCGTTTCCAAGTGGTGCAGGCGCGACTGCAAAGGCAACAAGTTAACGATATAAGAAAAGAAAGCAAGTGATTGCCACAAAAAAAGGAAAATATTGATAGTTTATCGAAATTGTAAAAATAAAATCGATTCTATAATCGAATAATAGATTTTTTTCAATTATAAAATTATAAAAAATTAAAAAAAATATAAACTCACCCTCTTGTTTGTACTATGAATACCATCGGAGCTGCTTATATTCGGCTCGGTGGCGCTGGTTGAGGCCGAGGCCGACGAGTTGTTGTCCTGGTAGAGCATCGTTATGCCTGCCGAGTCCACAGTGTTGTCCTGCTCATGCTCCTCGCCATCCGCTCCGCCGCCGCTCGAGTGCTGCTCCTGCTGCTCCTCCCGCTTGACATTGACCCGCAAATCTTCACCCTCATCGGCCAGCATCGGTTCCTGCGAACTGGTCACCACATCCTGGTCCACCGAGGTCACCGAACCCGCTGCCGAGACTGAGGTGGGTGTGGCCACGGGCATGGACATGGAGGAGGAGGCGGCAGAGGAGCCAAGGCGTCCTACACTCACACCCACTCCCACTCCTACACCCACACCCACACCCACACTCTTTTTGCCATGCAGCCGCTCCAAGGCATGGTTGAGGCGATGCTTCTTGAAGCTCTTCAGGTAGCGGAACTGCATCCCGCAGACGTCGCAGGTGAAGAGCTTGTCGGCCGGGAGGCGAGCACGATGGTTCTGCTCCTTGTGCTTGGCATAGGCACTGCGATAGCGATAGGACTGACCGCATTGCTCGCAAATGAAGGGCTTCTCCTCGCCGGGACCCACATGCGGATGCTGGAGGGCGGCGTGCTGCTCCAGCAGCCAAACATTCGGAAAGTGGGCATTGCAGACCACGCAACGGGTTTCCTCTTCGATGGTCTCCATGGTGCCGGTACTGGTGCCGGGTGCTATTACCCCAGAACCAGCTCCACCTCCTCCTCCTCCGCCAGAAGAACTAAACAGAGAAGAGCAGGTGTCGGAGGGACTTTTAAGCATCTGGCTAAGCTGCTGCTGGCTGAGCAGCGGCGGCGTGGACGAGGTGGACGAGGAGGAGCTCTTCTCCTTGCAGGCATCCTGATTGCCGGCACTGGCCAGCAGCAGTTGGGTGTATTGCCTCAGTCCGGTGGCGTCTACGATGACACCGCCGCCGCTGCCTAAACCGGAGGCGGTGACGCCACCGCCCAGAATGGGTGTACGTCGCTGACGCTGGAGAAGCTGCTCGAGCGATTCCTTGTACAGCTGAGCACTGCGCTCGCTGGGCAGCTCTACGATGGTCACTTCATCGCTGTCGGCGGAGCTGCGCTTGCAGCTATCCTCGCCGGAATCATTGGACATGGCCGTGGTGCTGGTGCTGGTGGCCATTTGTTGGGGAGATGGCGAGGATTTTGCCACCTTGGCCTGCTGCTGTTGCTGGTAGAAGGCCGTGGGCGTGGGGTAGCGCAGATTGAAGGTAGCAGCCGCTCCCTGCTGCTGTTTGTACTGTGCTGAAGTGTCCTTCGAGGCGGCAGCTGTGGCGGCGGAGGAGGAGGACAGAGAGGAGGCTGACGAGGAGGAGGCTGAGGTGGCCGTTGCCGTGGCTGTGGCCGTTGGTGCTCCCGGTTGGTAGTCCTTGGTCAGCAGATCGCTGAGGGTGGTGAAGCGATGCGGAAAGTCCTTGGGCGCTGCCAGCAGGCCACGTGTCCTGCGGAAAAGCGATAATTGATTCGATTTTTTCAATAAAAAATCGTTTTAGGAATGTTTTTTATCGAGAAGGCAATTATGTGATAATATCGATAATTATATTAAGTTTTAAATTATATTAAAACTAGTGGTAGGATTATAAATAAATGATAATAAATTAAATTTAAAGGAAGCTTACTTCGGGAAACCAGATTTTCCAAGATTTAAGGGTACAGGGACTTATACCCTTAAATCTTGCAATAGGATTGGGGAAATCTCTCATAACTTGGCCACAAAAGGTTTTATTAATAATTTTTAAATTGTTTTTTAATTTAAGATTTTAATAGCAAATTTAAATATATCGCTGGCATTATTTATATTTGTATTTTTTAGGAATATGTGTTTTTAAAATCGATATTTATCGATATTTTTATATGATAATTTTTTTTGGATAAGTCTAACTTTAAAAATATCATAACTTAGTTAAAAAATTATAAATTTCAAATCGGAAAACAGTTTTATGTAAGTTTTTACTAGTTTAACAAATCTGCATACAAGATAAAATATTTTAAAATATTTAAAACATTCAATTTTTGAGAATTTTAATGATCAATTATCAAATTTTGAAAAAAATTCTTAAAATTTTTTTTTCCTTCCAACATATCTAGAAAGACTCGCCTGTTGATGCTGACCAAGAATATATATGGTTTATGGGGTCGGAAATGAATCCTTCATAGCTTTGCAAGCTTTTTAGTAAAATTATAATACCCCCTTGGCAGGTTATAAATATGGCACAACATTTGATTTATCGAAATATAAAAAAAATAGTGAAAATATTACATTTAACCCTAAAATATCTATTAAAATTAAAAATCTTAAAATAAATCAAGGACTCACCTGAGTGCCTCCTCTGCCAGCCAGGTCTGATGGTGCAGCAGGCTAAGGATTCTGGACGGATCAATGTCGAAGAGGCTCAGGCCCAAAGGCGTAAAGGGAAAGGCGAAGGGGGTGGGACACCGACTGGCGGCCATTGCGCTCATCGGTGAGCTGAAGTTCCGTAGCAGCTGTGGAGATCAAAAATGGGAGTTACTAGGGTTACAAGTCGATAAAGTTGCTTGCTATACAGTGCCTCTTTATGTTCTGCTTTTTCTTTTTTTAAATTTAAAAATATTTCCTTTTTTTTTTTTGAATATTTCTGGGGTTTCTGGGGTATCAAAGAGATCGGGGCTTAAAGCTCAAAATAAATAGTATCCCTTTGGCTCTAATAGTTTTTGGGTGAAAGGGGCTGCTGCTACTAGACTGCTTGGAAGGGGGGGAAAATAATCCTGTTTGCCTACAAGGTATGGGGGGATCCCTAGAAGGGACTCGGGGCTACGTTTAGAAGTCATGCAACGCAACTGAATACTAGGCAAGCAAACACCGAAAAGCTCACACAAAAAGACATCTATATATATAGTATTCAAAGGACAAACTATCTGGCAGATGTGGCAAATGAAAGTACGGAAAAGTCGAAACGAAAAGTCAATAGAGAGAGAGAGAGAGAGAGAGAGGAAAAAGCGGCAGGATTAATGGTTAAACATACTTACGTGGTTGAAGTTTTATATATTTTGTATATAAAGATTTAAGTATATAGTATATATATAATTTTTTTAGCTTGAATTGAAAGATTACTTAGGACTGAGGGGTATTAATTAATTAATTAATTAGGAAATAAAACTTTGAATGACTTAAAAAAATATTTAAAATAATTTAAAAACACCAAGAAATTCCAGTTTCTTTTTTTTTTACTTTTAAAAATATTCAAAAATTATTTAAAAATATTAAGTCATCTGCACACTGAAATTAACATTAAAAAAATCAATCAACAGTATCTAAAATAACTTAAAAGCATCATGAAACTCTAGTTTCTTTTTCTTGATTTTTTTTTAAATATTAATTTAATAAATTTAAAATTAAAAAATTGAAATTTTTGGTAATTTTTCGCCTGTTGAAGAATATTTAAGATTTATAGGGTCAGAAATGACTCTGTCACTACTTCTGATTAAGAAAAGGTCTAAATTTTTTTAAATATTTCTTTGAAAAATATAAAGAAATATATAATAGAAAATATACCTAAAACTAAGCTTTACAAGATTAAAAAATTTTTAATTAAAATTCTAAAATTGTGGAATCAAAAAATCATAAATTAAAACCACGGCTTGGCCATGTTTATAATTATCAAGTAATATTTTTTTAGAAGTAAAAAAACTGCAAAATATTTTCAATATTTTTATTTATATAGAATTTTATTTCATTTTCTTCATTTTCTTTTTTGTTTTCTGCATTTCTTCTTTTTTTCAGCTTCTCCAGCTACTTTCCTTCATTCTTCATTCTTTGTTTTCATTCTTTACTCTTCTTGGATTTGTGTGTACGAGTGTGTGTGTGTGTGTGTGAGTGTAGATTGTGTGTGTGTTTGTGTGTGAACAAGGTCTTTGAGTTCAGCTTTTGACTTTCGTTTTTCAAGCGCTTTTCATGCGCTTTTCCGCTTTGTTTTTTCTTTACGCTCTCGACTACTAGAAATGTTGTTAGGCATAGACTATATAGCTAGCTATATATGACTGATCCTGCTGCTGATCCTATTAGGTTTTATTTACTTTTACCAGTTTGCTTGCTGTCTTGATTCCCTCTCTACTCACATTCTCCTTTTGGGCTTGGATATATAATATATGGATTGTGGAAAGAAATCAAATTTGCTTTTGGTGATGTAGGTCCTGCTTTTGCTTTCTGCTTTTGCTTTCTGCTTTTGCTTTCTGCTTTTTTCTGGGAGCTTTCTTTGCATGACTAATCGCAATTTCGTTTTGGTTTTTGTTTGTTTTTGTTATAAACTATGATATGCCTTGCTTTGCTTAAATATTTCCTCGTACTTCTCCCTTTTTTTTGTTTTGGTTTTTTTGTTTATAATAATTTTCATATAAATTTTGTCGAGTGTGTTTGGTTTTTTTGTCTTGCCTAAAATATGTTTTTTTGTTTTCTGCATGTAAGTAATTGAATTCTTTTCCATTCTAAAATATTTTTCCTTGATTGCTTCTATTTGTGTGTGTGTCTGTGTGTTTCTCGGGTTTTAATTATTTTAAGTATTTTTTTTTCTTGCCTTTTTGGTGCCTGATAAGCTACGCTCGTTAGTTGTTTTTTTTACTTTTTTTTAGTAAGTTTAAATGGTTCATTATTCAGCATTGGTTCGACTTGAAAAATGAGTCGAGTGTATTGAGAGTTCTCTTGTAAGTAATTTATTATTGCTCAGTGCTTTTGTTGTTGTTGTTGTTGTTTTAGTTCTCATTCCGACTACGAAAAAAAATATATAGTTAGCGTATATTTTTAACCTTCCTTTTTGCCTTTTTTTTGTATTTAGTAATATTTTCGTTTTGTTTTGTTTTCTTGGGTATTTTCCATATATATTCTGTTGAGTTCCCGTCAAGCTCTCTTCAATATAAAAGTACAGTTGTGTCTGCGAACTAGTTCCAGTTCCACTTGTTTTTTTTTATGGGTGCTGCATGTGTGTTTGTGAGTGAAACGATAAGGAATGTACATGAGTGATAAATGGTTTTCATATAATATTTTTTATTTCGCTTTTTGTTGGTTCTTTCATTTCATTTCATTATTTTTTTTTGTTTTCTTTAGCCACAAAATATCAAAAATCTTATAGAATAATAAAAAAAATCATGATAAATGATAAAATGGAAACTAAATTGTATCGATTGGAACTTAAATTGCATTTAATATATATAGTAGTTCTTTAAACGTAATTATAATAATAATTTGCATTAATTTAGTTTAATTTTATAGACGCTCAATAAATAATTCGGGGGAATCGCTTAACTTAGGCTAAAAAAATGCTTAGTGAACGAAAATGAATGAAACGGAAGCGGAAACGGAATCGAATGGGTATATCGATATCGATAACGAATATATCGATATCCACAGGATACAAGGCTTCAACTGAAATCGATTTGCTGTTTAAGATTTAGCTTTTAGTTAGTTGCTGCTCTTAGTGAATTCTTTTAAATTAATTATTGTATAAAATCTTTAATGATTCTGCTTTTTCTTGTGTGTGTGTGTGGTGTGTGTTTACAGTTAGTTAAGAATATATATTTATATAAATTATTTATGTATCTTGTATGTCTATATTGTAGGAACATATTGACGTAATCATAACGTATTGCAGCTATTTTGTTCATCCTCTTAATTCGGTTATTGTTGTTTTTTTGTTTTTTATTTATTTTTTTTATTTTTTATTTTGTAAACTTTTCTTGGGATTTTCAGTTGTTTGTGTGTGTGTGTTTTCCTTTTCTCTAGGCTTGCGTTTTTTTGTTCGGGGAAGAACAGCTTTTAAATTCGAATTGGAAGCTGTTTACAACCCCTCTATAAATTAGTTGAATGTATATGATTATTAAAAAAAACGTTGTCTACTACAAACAAACAAAAATAATAATAATAATAATAAAGATGTTTAAGAATGTATTTAAAATTAATTATGAATGAGCCTCAATTGGGGGAACTTGAAAAAAGTTCTCAACCGTCGGTTACTAAAAACTATTATTTTGCTACCCATTTTTCTTGTTTTTGTCAGTGTATACGTGTGTGTCTGTGTCTGTGTTTTTCTTCCCTTACTTCTTGTTTTTTAGATATATTTTTTTTCATATCATTATTTTGAATGCCTTGCTTGAGAAAACAAAAACAACTACTGCAAATTATTAATTATATTCTTTTTCATATTTTTTTGTTCAAAAGATTTTACTTTTTGTGGTCTGAAGTTTTTATATATTTTCGAGCTTTTTTTTGCAAAATAATTTAGCGGTTCGGGAAGGTTAAAAATGTATTTCTTAATCACTTAGGTTGAAAAATTTTGTTTTTTTTTCGCATTTATTAAATATTTTTACATTTCTTGTTGGTTTTTGTTGTTTATTTTTTGTTTGCCTTTGTGTGAAAATAGTATTACTAAAAACTAGTTTAATTTCTTGATAAATTGGTTGCTTTATTCTCTCAGTGTGTGTATGGGTTTCAAGTCCTTTACTTTTTTCCTTTCTCGAGCCTAAAAAACTTGCCTCCTTTTCTTGTTAAATTGTTTTTGTTTTTTTTTTATTTTTTGGATATGCAAAACTACTTTGTTGTTGTTTCTACTTTGTTTTTGTTGTTGATTTGGTTGTGTGTGTGTGTGTGTGGGTGAGTGTAGTATACCTAATTTTTTTTTTGCAGAGTTCCGCTAATAGTTTTCCTGTCTTTCTTTAAAAACTAATTTCTGTTTTTTTTACATGCCATAAGTACGTTTCTGTATGTGTCTGTGTTTTATAAACTAATGTATAGGTGTGTATGTATATTTAGTTATATATATGTATGTATATATATAGATCTCAATGCCTCCCATTGCTCGCTAAAAAAATAACTATCAAAAAAACTGCAATTTCCATTTCTGACTTCCTTTTCCTTCACGTTTTTTTTTTGCTTTTCTTTTTTTGTTGTTTTTTTCTTCTGCGTTTTTATAAAATATTACTTTAGTATATAATGTATATATGTATTGTATATATATATATATATCGATTTTTTTTTGGTTTTCTATTTTTATTTGTTTATTTTTATTCGGTTTTTTGTTTTGTTTTTAAAGGGGAGTAGGCACTACAGTGTTGTTTTTTTTCTCTCTTTTTACCTCTTTTTTACTTTTCTGACGTTTTCTTTGCGTTTCTTTGCGTTTTTTATTTTGTTTTTGTTTACCCAAAAAATTGTTTCGGCTTTTCTGCTATAAAATAAGCCTGCCACAAGCCTCTGTGCCTCTAGTAAGTATTTATTATTAACAAATATTTGCCTCAGCTGCTCCTTTTTTGCCTCTCTGTATATGCGTGTGTGAGTGTGTGTGTGTGCTTGGTTGAGCTTACACCGGAAAAAAATTGTTTACAACTTTTGAAGCTTTCATTCTTTTTTTTTAGGTTTCCAATGTCCTGCTATTTGTTTACTCTATAAATAACTATATGCAAGTGTGTGTATAGATATCATAATTCTTTAACTTTTTAGCTTTTCATTTTTTAGCGTATCAAAAAGTGTGTCTGTGTGTGTGTCAGAGTGTTGAAG